AGCCGGAGATGACGGCGGCGGTGAGGGAATTGTAGATGATCATGTCTTGGGAGTCGTTTAGTTGGAAAGGCAAGCCTCCCCAGAGCTCCGTGAAGCTGAGAAATGGGGTGCTTCCGCCATTTGAGAGCTCGTAGAGTGAATTGAACTCGTTCATGGTGGATTTAATTCATTTTTCTTTGTGGAATTTTTGAGTTATACTTATAGAGAGAGAGCGGAAGGCTTTGTGGTAATTTTAGGAGTATATACATACTATAATTTTCATTTCTTTAGAAAATTAATATAATTTGATATTTTCTTATCTAGGAAAAGTATAAGATGCCTTTTAACCACGCTCTGTGTTGAGATAAAGTACTAATATTTGCATTAAGTTCAACTATATTTAAATTAACATTGATGGTAGATCCAACGGGAAGAATTTTTTGAGTACAACAATATGCGAGGATGAAAATTTGAACTCACGACCTTTTGGTCGGATACATGCCATAACCAATTGAGTTATTAGGAGTGTTAAAGAAAATTTTATAATTGTATTCGTTGATGGAAGAATTTTGTTTTGATCTCCAACTTTGACAGCTCTGCCCACAAAATAATTGCACATGGGGTGTTGACCCACTATATGATGCTTAATATAGTAAATGATTTCATTGAAAGAACTAAAAAGTCGGATTATGAGAGCGATGCCCAAGATGTCTCTCCTCTTATTTATAGGAAGAGTCTCCTTGAATTGGTTTGGGTGGACCAACTCGATCAATTTTTGATCAACTTGAGTCTAGTTTGGTCCAAGCAGTTTTGAACCAAGTGGTTTGACCCATGTCGCTTTCTTAACCTCAGTTTATGGGAATTTGATGGGATAATTTCATCCATAATAATGGCTCCCACTCTTCAGGCGTTGAACTGTAAAAATATAATTTCGAATAGTAAACGCTTCCTTAGTGCTCCATGAACGTTGAATAAAAAATACTCCAACTTTAGGGTAGTTGAGTATAAATTAAGCTATATATGGAGAAAAATCACACATCAGATTGAAACATATGCCTCAAATTTAGCCTCAAGCTTGAGCATTAAGACTTATATATAAATATATAGGTGTTTTAATGACATATACATGGCCTCGGACTCGGACATGGATGTATGCCTTGAATTTAGCCTCAAGTTTATGGGCAGTAGGACCTCTCTATTATATATGATATATTATATAGAGAGATCTCTAGCTCAGATATGGTCCAGGTGGCTTGACCCATGTCGCTTCCTTAGCCTCAGTTGAGGGGAAATTGATGGGACAGTTTTACCCACAACAATATTCATTTTTAAAAGTAAATGTACAACTATTTAAGAAAATAAGATCGACTATCTACCTCACAACGTTTGATAAAAGGAGTACGAAACGAATGAAATAATATATCGGTAGAACTTTTTAAGTATACATTATAAATGTGATCGATCTATTAAAAGATCATCATTTTTTTAGCTCAATAACATGTGGAAGTGGAGATTTGAGACTTTTTAGTCCATGATATATATCTTAACCAGTTGAATTATGTTCAAGTTGGCTTTAAAAAGACCCTCGTGAAAAAGAGAAATACCACTAACTCTTTTAAAAGGAATTAGTGTGATTCTATTTGCTCATTAGAATATAGAGTACTTAGAATAATTTAAAGCAATCATTCCAAGCTCAACAACCCCAAGAAACTCAACAAACTTACGAGCGAGACTATAACAAATACTAAAGATTATCTGCCTTTGATAAAAAATATAAATAAAAAGAAAAAAAAATTATATTTCAAAGTGGGTAAAACCTTTAATGGTTGACAAATCAAGTCAATATAAAAATCCTACACCCTTTTTTAAGAAGAATTAAAAAAATGTTGGCAAATATCCACTCATATCTTATCACTATTGCTGGTAAGCAATTCGGTTAGAAAAGTATAAAAAAATATCTTCATTGGTGTGAGAGGACAAATGATCGATATTGTGCGCTAGACAATATCTTGAGATACAACAATACTTTTCTTTCCCAAGGAGACCTTTTTCTTGTAGCTAGTGCAAAGGAATGTTGGGCAATTAAGTTGAGATCTATTTGTTATGGAGTACTTGGAAAAAAATACAAAAAAGAGAAAAATATACTACGATTGTTAATCTAACAGCGAGG